ATTTTTATGATATGAAAATGGTCCCGTAAAGTTATACATTCATTGATACATAGATCCGGTATCACTCATCAAACTTCTTTTCCATGACATAAATATTTTCCCAACCAGAACAGACTCGGTTTTTTATGTGCCCGAGGACTTTCAACTTGATAGCATTCCTTTATGTATTTTTAATTTTTATTTACCGGATATCGGTGATTWGAAGCAACTCAATTTTTCCTAGAGGTGTGTTTTATTATTAGACGTTTACACTTCATCCTGGAATAAGCCACAGAGAATGTCAAATAAAAACAAGTAATCAAAGATTGACGYTCCGTGAATTTATTAGCAAGTCCAAATATAAAATACTGACTTATTTGCACACATTTTTTTCGTTATTCAAAAAATATAAATATATTTAAAATAAAGGATTTTTCACGTCTCAGCAATAACAATGACCGCAACTGCTGCAGATCGTGGCGTACAGCGTGGAGTCAGCCGCGTACTTGCTAAGTTGGAAAATTCAATTGAATCGGGCAATTACTATGAAGCACATCAAATGTATCGTACATTGTACTTTCGATACATCGGCCAGCAAAAATATGCGGACTGCTTAGAGTTACTATGGAGTGGTGCAATGAAGCTTGTTTCGAAACAACAAGAAACTAGTGCAGCAGATTTAGTTCTCCTCCTTATTGACACATTAGATAAGCGTGGTAGTGCTGAAAATGATCAAAGTAATGATGGCGACATTTGGATTCAACGATTGGGCACGCTTATTGGACTTCTAAGCTCTACCACGGTGGAGCGCGAAACCTTAATTGTAACATTTTTAAATTTAGCTAATCTATAAAAAACTTACATGAATATTTTTTTTTTGCAGAGTCGTGCAATAAAGTGGAGCAGTGATATGTCGGGGATTACATTAGGGCAYCCAGGCATGCACAAAGCTATTGCTCAAGTTTTTTGGGCTGAAGGAAGTTGTGAACAAGCTCGTCATCACTTTCTACTAAGTCGTGATGGATATCTTTGCGGTCGAATATTAATTAAGATCCATAAAAATAAAGGCTACGAAAACGAATTGGATTTATTTATCGTACAGGCTGTACTACAACAATTATGTTTAAAAGATCGGAAGACTGCTGAAGATACTTTTGTCTCCTATACCGCAAATCATCCAAGTATTAGGCGCGTAGAGCTTCCATTCAAACAACCGCTATTAAACTTCGTACGCTTTTTGTTTCGTTGTATCGACACTAGACGACATGAAACATTTCGTGCTTTGTGTGATCTATATAAACCTTCATTGAATAGAGATCCTTCGTTCGAAAAATATTTGGTTAAAATAGGAATACATTTCTTTGGTGTTGCACCACCACCTACAATAACTGGAGGAGGTTTGATGGGCGGCATGTTTGGTGACTTATTTACTCGCTTATTTCAAGGATTCGATGACGATGATGACGACGATAGCCAACAATCCAGGTCTAGTTCCAACACACGTTTACGTACTGGGGYCTCCGCAAACTCTGTCAATCTAGATTAACATCCATTATATGACGATACTGAATAATCATGTACTTTTTTTTAATGAAATAAACTATTAACTTTAGCATGTTATATTCGCCAATTACGATTCCATAATTTAAACAATTCAAACAATTTCTGCAAGTTTAAGTAGAATTCAAAATACATAATTGTAACAACTTTAGCCTTTACCGAAACCAAAAACAGTAAATCACTTTGTTAACAGAAATATAATCARTTTTAATTTAATTATAGTAAATCTTTTAACTTATTCATCCAAAAAACATTTCATCGATATAATTCGGAGTGCTCTAAAATATAAGGAGTAGGTAGTCTATTTTACAAGCTTTTACATAAATAGATTATTCTGCTTATTAATTCAATCCAGTTATAATAAAATTTATAACAATTCATTTTACCGAATTACCATAATTCGTTTCATTATGCAGCAAACCAAATATTAATTTTTTGTTGTATAGTATATAGGTTGAGAGCTGTTATACTGCAAGTTAGTTTGCTGAAAATTGCAACAAACAGTAAATTCAATAATTTTCCACCAATTCTCTTTGGGATATAAACCCACCTTAATATTTTACGCACTCCGATTAAGYGATGACAAAACCTTACATTTCATTAAAGCATAAATAACATTAATAGACTAGTTTTCTAAAAGTAAAAGAGAACAAATTAATTAACAATTAATTTTGCAAAATATTTGCAGATGGATAATCGTTAGAATTCCAACTGCAATTCGGGCAAAACTCTAAAGACACCTTTCCTTGCCTTATATGTAAGCAAATGCCCGCATCAGATTCTATACTTTCAAGTGATGGCACTTGATCAACGTCCGCATAACTATGCTCTCCTCCAACTGTGGTTAATTTTGTCAAACCTTTAGTTCCTAGGTCTTCGTGGAAGATATCGACCCACGTGTCATTAAAAGTTGACGATGGTATAAAATCTGAAGATAAATTTTCAAAAATGTTATACATTTCTATTGGATCATCTTGAAAAGAAAACTCTGATGAAATTCCTACGCTACCATTATCCGAATTTTCCGATGTTGATGCCACATTCCATTCAACATTGTCCAAACCGTTTGTTTGCTGTAAAATCGTTGACGACTGGCATAATTGCTGACTGGTATACGAATGAACTGGAGAACTCAGCATTGGCGAATTTACGGGCGGAGACTGCTGAACATGCATTCGAACATTCAGAGCTTTAATAAGATTCTCTATTTCTTTGTGATTTGCAATAACGYTCTGAAAATACCTTTTTTCTCGTTGAAGTAGGTTTACTGCTTTCATTTGCTGTTTCAACGCCTTCTTAAGCTGCTTATTGGCCGATCGCACTTCCTCCAACTCCTTCTCCATTGCCTCTAAATGCGCTTTCTTCTTTCGACGATTTTCCCGTGCCAACAAAGCATTTCTATTTTGGACATTTGGATTGGGCCGCCTAGTTGGCATCCGACCTTGAAAAACTGCCTTTACATCGTTTTTCACACCTGAAATTGTACTTTCTTCGCTATCGGTGGCTGAATTAGAGTCCGTTGATTCATATCGGTAGACATTCTGTTGCAATAACTGCTTGAAATCTTCCATTATGATTTTTGATAAAAGCGTTGAAGGGAAAATTTTACAAACGGAATCTTGTTTATTATTTTGTACACCAAAAAATTGTCGCTGCTACTTTACCTTTTCTATAAAAATTTTTAATTTTTCAACAAAAGAAAAATCACCTATTACGTTTCATACACGAAAAGAAAATGGTGGTCTAAAACGAAGTAAACCTTGATCGCCGTTGTGTTTGCCAACATTCAGAGTTGCTTTAAGTATTGAAGTCGTATGGTCTTTTTAAAATAATTTACCTTACAATAAATAAATAATTAAACAGATTGTCTTTTACTGAAGAGAAAAATTAATAAAACAAAACGAACTTTTACCAATAAAAAGTTTAACTTTATAAACATACTGGAGAAATAATATTTTTCCTTAAATTTTTTGATCTTAAATTATTTAAAATTAACTTATTGATATATAATATGCACAATGGTAAATTGYATTTTGACAGTTTTTAAAGAATATGTTTACAGTTTTAATACTGTTTATCCCTGTAATGTGATGTCCACATATCATTTGTTTATATAATATGATAAACCTTAACTATTATAATAAAACTCATTGACAACTTCGAAAGATACGAGTACCGATTTAACTAAATTCAAAAACCCGTTGACTGGTTGCAGAACCTGGCAAGGTTTAAAGAATATTATCGGAAAGCGAAGCGAAAAACAAGGAAGCAGCGAAATTAAGAAAAGGAAGAAAATAAAGATTGACCATTATAGCAAATTCTGGTTGGATATAAATTCACAATAGCAAATGGACCAGAACTTGTTGAATACTTTGTGATTTTTTATACGACGGAGTGCCTGGAATTAGAGTGTATAAAAATCAATAGTGGTCGCACACAAAGATATTTCGCAACCACTCCAAGTAGTGGGGAGTGCAGTGGAAATATAAAATGTATACACGCGATACAGAATTGCGACGACTGCAATCCAACGATGTGAACCGGCTGGCGGAAACGTTGGGATTCGTTGGGGGAAGAAAGTTGATGGAAAATATACCGAAACATTGGTCAAATCAAGACGGATATAATGTTGAAGATTCTGTTAGAGAAAACCAAAGATTTAACGGTTCAAATGTGATAGAGTTAAAATACAAGCCAGAACAAGTTCGGCTAATAGAAGAAGCAACAAGGCAAACTAGTGGCTGTTATTTTGCAGAAATATTAATACAGGAATGGAGCACCAGTGGCCGCAAACATGAACGTCCGACAGTGGGTCTGTTATTACAGTTACTGGTAAAATCAGATCTCTGGAATGCAGCTGACTTTGTTGCAGAACATTTCCTAAATGGTAAGAATTTCTTTGTTTTTAATTGCACTACATAGATAGATAGATAATGTTATTGAGGTAATGCACCTCGATCTAGGGTCTATTGTGCCATCTCCTATATCACATGACCTCCCAGAGCCCCAGCAGCCTGAATAGTTCCAGGAGTTTGCGGGGCGCTAGTGAGGGGATGTGATCCCTGCTGATGTAGACAGAAGCCAGGGCCTTGAGCCTTTTTCAACAGATTGCTTTGCAATCCCGGATTAGGTGTGTTGGTGTTTCCGGTCGCAGAAGCGGCAGTTAGCACAGGAGACCATGCCCATGTTGGACAGGTGTTTCCTGAGCTTACAGTGCCCTGTGTAGATTGCGACGAGGARACGAAATTTTTCTCGGAGGAGGTGGATTAGTTCTTTAAACCTGGAGAGATTGTATCCTCCCAGGAGCAGCTTGGCGTGGCGCATGCTTGCTGCCTGCCGCCAGTGCCGTTCTCTCTCCTCACGGCTTCTTAAGAATGTGGGGTCCTACCGCTATGTATGGCTCTAGTCCAAACTTCTGCCTGGAAGATACTTGGGAAGCAGCCCAAAGGTATGGACAGCTTGGTACGTGGTCCCACAATACCTGCCCCAATAGCTTCCGGGGTTTTAGAGCCATCAGTGTACCATTGAATGGTACTGTCTTCCAGCATCCTTTCCAGCTTGGAGTCATTCCACTCCGTTTTGCTGCCTAGAGTAASTTTAAAGTTCTTCTTGAGGTTAATTTTCTTCGTGGTGCTGTTCTTTGGGAGGAGGGCTAGCGGTGTGCTTTCCGCTAGTGAGTCCATCTGTCTAGAGGACATTACCTTCCCTCTTCCACAGCCTTCTGCTGACATTAGCAGCATGGTGTGTTTTGCTGCTAGCTTGATCACCTGATGCAGCGGTGTGGGTTCTAGTATGACTTCCAGTGCCACCGTGTGCATTTGCGCATCGCCCCCGAAGCACAGACACAAGTCTTTGCAGCTTTGACAGCCTCCGAATCACCGAAGACTGCGCAGCTTTGGTGGCCCAGGCAACCGCTCCATAGGTGACGATAGGCCTCACTATCATGGTATACAGCCATCTGATGATACTTGGCTTGCATCCCCATTATCTGCCGGCCAGTCGTCTGCAAATCATAAGTGCTCTTGTTGCTTTGGACAGCGTTAAGTCCAAATGCTTACTCCACCCTAATGATGAGTCTAAGGTGAGGCCAAGGAATTTGACCTACTTAGACAGTTCCACCTCTGTGCCTTCAATTGTTAGGACCTTCAGGCCCGGAAGGGATCTCCGCTTAGTGAATGGGATCACGGTGGTTTTTACTGGGTTGATATTTAGCCCTACCATGTTGCACCATCCTTTCGCCAAGTGTAAGCCCCTTTGTACAATGTCACAGAGAGTGTTCTCAAATCTACCTATCGCCATTGTGACAATGTCGTCCGCATACCCTTGACAGCGGATTCCATTGCTGATGAGCAGCTCGAGTAGTTCGTCAGCTATCAGGCTTCAAAGCAGAGGGGATAGTACTCCACCCTGTGGGCAGCCCCTTGTGGTGCCAAGACGAATCTTATTGCACTACATATAAGAAGTATGGATTTTTTGTTTGGAATCATTAATTGATTGTACAAATCTTTTAATCGCACTACATTAATCAATAGTTCTTGTTACATGTTATCCTTTGGAAAATTTAAAAGTATATAATATGGAGTTATGAGTCAATAAAATCATTAACTACAATATATGTTAATAAAAATATTTCGTTCTAATCTTGATAAATATCATGTTGAACTGTTTATTCAATTACCAGAACCCCCACCCGAACGTCCTTTGGAAGGACCTGGTGCGAAAGTTGACATATCAATTCCAACAGAATGTTTGAGAAGTGTTGTAGATTTTGTAAATGATTCGGTCGGTTATCCAGACACAGAAATGCTCAACGACAATATAAATAGAACGAATGGATTGGCCGATAACAATCGAGATTATTACACAAAAATTGCTCCTTTGAATAAGGACTTAAACACCGTAGCACCAAAACCGCCTCCTCGGACACGATCCGCGCGTCATCAAAGTACACAACACAGTCTGCAACAGCAACTGCCAATACAACAACAGCAACAAAATATTCAGAAAGCACCAACCAAMAACGAAGCAGCAACTGCAGAGGCTAATAACCAAAATAAACCCCCTCAAAGCCATGATAATATTCAAGTATCTAAACAGCCTCAAAATGTAAATTCATCAATGAGTAATACCATGACTTCACATAATATACCAGAATTGAGCGATCTGCTTAAATCCAATAGCAACCTGCATTCTGCGAAATCAGAAGATTTACGCGAAATCCCTATGGTTTCCCTTCTTGATTCTAAACCTAAAAATTTACCAAGTATACCAGTTGTTGCTTCAACATCAAATGCGACATCGATGGCGGGATCTGATGTGCTCGGAAGTCTACCTCTGATTACTGAACTGAATTCTGATGTTGTGGATATTGAAGTTTCGAATGATCTTCAAGGAGAGAACTCTGATTCAAATCAATTGACACACCAAATTACTTCACCCTCTCCAAATGGTTTAAGTGATGATAGTCGCTGTAGTAGTTTGAGTAATGATAGTTTTGACGATGGCGATTACAGTGCTGTAAATAATTCGGATGTTGGTATTGTTGACATGGAGAATGCAGATGGAACTTCTTGTGATCAAAGCCTGCCAAATCTAAGTATTTTCGGTCGACATAGTCCCAATAATGACTCCAGTTTGACGACTGTAACGTGCACAAGTGGAGACAATAGCTTCGAACTGAGCTTAAACGAGTCGAGTTCAACATCAACAACAGACCCCACTGCGCAAAGAAAGTAAGGTTGCGTTCAGGTTGCTGTCATGATTGTTAAAGGAATTCATAGAGACAAAATATTTTGTCATTCCTACGATAGAAGATATTATAAAATGGCATTCCAAAAGATACGCGCAGCATTATTTGTGAGCATCAATTTTGAAAAAAATTTTTGATTGCTTATATGTATAGTTAAAATATAACACTTGTTACATAAAATTGAGATATATGTATATCCTCTGCGATAAACACATTATAAGACAACTTTAAATCATATTTAAAAGCATTTAATGTAAAAGTTTTACGATATAAGTTGCAGTAGAATTTTGACTCAGTTTAAATTCGTAAAACATATTTATGAGTAAATTGTAAATTATATCGTAAATATATATTTGAAATATAAAACCGATCTTTTAGTTTTAATAAGCATTTTTATTTTCTAGCAAAAAGAGAGGATTTTTCAATAAGTTTTAAATGATGCAATGAATACTTACCTATATGTGTATGTATGAATGCGTTTTATGTAGTTATGACTGAGTGGTTGAACATTACTCAACTGTTAAGAATTTAAAAATAACTTTCATAAATTTAAATGAACGTAAACGTTACCCAAATATGAAATAATTTCATTTTTAATTTGTGAAATTAAGTTAAATTACAATAAATACTGCTAACTAAACATATGAAAGTGTATATCTAATAAAATATAATTAGACGTTCTCTCACACATAAATACAGATGCAATGAGATTGTTTTATATAATATACAGTGAAATATCCCAATGGGGACAGCTCCCGTAACCGTACAACTATCATAAACACAACATTTCCATTACTACATTCATCCAAAACCAAATTCTATAACCGGATATGAACAGTTTTAATGACTGGACGGACACTATTTTATTAGTACTTCCTTTAAATTACCTCTGATAAACGCACAAGGTTTAATAAAATATGTGAAGAAAATAATGGACTACGTATAATAATGGACTACGTATTATTTTCTTCACATATTTTAATAAATCTTATATATATACACCCMGTCAAAGGATCTTGAGTTCTTAATTTAAATCTCCCGCTTATATGGAAGACAGGTAAATTTTCCTAATTTGGTACAGATGTGCTTTATTATAATGCCGAAAAATAGTGCGATCTGTCAAGCAGTTYTTACAGTATCTGTTTATGTCAGTCTCAGTAGTGTTTGTCGAATATTACATGACCGGAAATATTGATACAAATACTTATGTTAAATTTTGTGTTGCGAACGAGTTTTCGTATGCCGATAAATTGAAAAGGCTGGGATTTAGAATAGCATCCCCGTATTTCGGGAATAAAATAGGTATCACTGGAAAGGTGACGTTCTCCTGATCACGAATATATATATATATATAGTTGCCGCTGACTTATATATAGTTTTAAAGATATTTGCATTTAAAGTTGAAAAATTGACAACTTTTACATTGATAATTTATATATTGCGAATAACTTTTTTACTTATATATTGTGAAATTTTCGATTACGGACAATCCTCAAAGCTAAACATATCCCACACCTGGCCACAATTCATGAACCAAACGTTTTGATTATTATATTTATACAAAAACAATTGCTATCACCAGGTGGGTGTCCGGTTATGAGGAGTTTCACTGTATATATAATTTACATATTGTACTTCAACTTCAATTCAACCCAGTGAAGTTAAAACCGTAAAAGAAATAGAAATAACTGTGTTGAGCGGCACTGAAAACATCCCTTAATTACTTATTTGGCTACTTTACGGCAAATTCTCAGTTAAATTCTCTTATTAGTATAAAGAAATAAAAGCAGGTAATTAATTTATTAATAATACTTTCATCCATTTTTACAAATATTAAATATCTAAATATCGCGCAACAAGATGTTTTATATTTTGTTCAGAGTGAAATTGTTGATTCAAAAATTAATGAATAGGTAAATTTATTTGTTTTGAATTATCAATAGTTATTACAAATGATATAACAGAGCTATTTTATGCTTCTCTTTGTAAAATAACGTCAGGTTCGTTAGAGCTTTGAGTAATATATCGTTTAATTTGTGGCATCCTCTCCTCTCTACTGTCGTTGGGGAATTTAGAAATATTTTTATATTTTTGAGAGCGACAACTGAAAGCCTACAGTCGTGTTGTCGTGCTGCTGTCTAAATAAATGTCTATAAGAACGTTTGTATTTTTATAAGTGAGAGATGTCGCTCTCYATGTGTTATATATGAGAGCAAACTCATTAAGAACAAAACTTGTAAAAATTAACATTTTCGTGTTTTTGTGTCAAAAATCCTCCCGTTAGAAAATTTGTACTATCATTTTCTGTGTGAGAAACCCAAATTAGTAAGAAACAGCCAATCATCGCAGTGCCGAAATGACTGTAACTTAGTTACACGTATATTGTTTAAAGTCAGACATATTTAAAAATCACTTTTATATACCTACACAAAAATGCAACCCTATAGTCATATATTCTAAAAATTGGAAAACAAAATAAGAACAAAACAGAAAAGATTGAGTTGACACATCACAGGAAAGCAAATATACATATGCAAAGAAAGCAATAACTAAAATAAAATTTGCAAAACGAATTTTTTAACTTCTTAAAATATATCCTGTGTTGTTTTTCATAAGTTTTTCACGATTTTTCACCAAATGGACGAGTCTGAACTGCTCTTCAATTTGTTCTACCTTTTATTATGTATGTGTATTATATATCCACCAGAGGAGTTTCAGCGTCTGGGTTTAACTATCGAACAAATTTTCATTAAACTGTTGGGTGATGAAAACCTCAATTTCGTACACTACCATCAACGTCGCACATCATTGAATTTATTTGTACACAGCTGCTTGCCTGCACTGTATTTTCTCATACACAAATTAAAGTTCTCTGTATTTGCGGAACGCGAATTGCCTGAAAATGTAGATTTGGATCCGGATTTTCCAATGCCACAAGAAGCTGTTGCATTTAAAACGCTCACATGGAAAATCGCACAACGTTTTAGTTTAATGGCAGTCTTGGCAATGCCGGCTTTAATATTCAATTGGCAGCAGCAAAACTGGCGGCGTCATCCAATCAGCCAGACATTATTGAAATTCTCCAATGTGCCAGATAGTTATCACACTGTTGCGAGCGACATAAGCACTGAATTTCGAAGGTATGTTGGAGGAATTTAAAATTTGTTTTAGAGTGTAACCATAAATAAAAATGAATTTAACAAATAGTATCTGATTAATAGACTCGACATATATAAAAAGAAGCTGAACTCCATATCGACAGTTATAGCAACAGAAAACTGGATAATTAAAACTTCGCTTTATAATGTACATTTTGCCCACCAAAGCGATACTTCCCTCAGTGTAGCCAAAGTAAGTGAATCATATAGTAGTTAAAAAACTCTATTATCAGAACATTCCTTTTAGGAATTATTATTGCTATTTTTAAAAAGCACTAACATTAACCAATTTCTATAGACAGAAACTTACAACGTTTCACAAGACACTAACGATACCTTACAAATGGTGAGCATAGTAGTGAAACCAAATCGACAAAAGGTCGCTGACTTTCACATACGCATCAATGCTTTAGAATTTCGCAATCTGGAGGAGCGAATTAGTCGACCTATTGCCATACCATCAAACATACAATTCCATCGCAACGTAATAGATCGTTTTATAGATGTTTTYAAAGAACAAGTGACTAAAAATCCAATTTACAAAGCGGATAGGATAGCAGAAAGGTGCTTTGCTTGTATGATTGCTGAGCCAAATATAAAAATTCATAAACAATGTGAAGATGTTGATCGTGATGGACGTCCACTGTCAGCGGAGAATACTTGTACAAATTGCTATTGCCGACCAATGTGGTGCGTTGATTGTCTTGCGCGTTGGTTTGCTGCACGTCAGAGTGAACACGATCGAGAAGTATGGCTTGAACAGAAATGTACCTGCCCTATGTGTCGTGCCAAATTCTGTCTTCTCGATGTCAGCTACATTGAGAAGCGTGATATAGTGGAAACCGGCGATGTCCCGCTTAACAATGACAACGCGTGATATTTTTATATAGCAAGTAGCTTTTTGAATTGCATTGAATTTCAATTATAGTTGATAAATCAAATCTGTCAATTCTTCCAATGTATAGTTCAATAGCGAATAAGATACGGATCTTCTGCTAATTTTTTGCAAGATTTTTTGTCTTTATTTGGTCCATAATAGTTTATAATTAATTTTTATATTTTTTTGTAATAAATTTTGTTTACATTTCTATGTTTACATCAATTTAATATTTTTCTAAACACAAATTACTTAATATCTAAAAAGTTTGTAACTATCACGTTTTAATACTTTACGATACATAATTCAATATACATACACTTTTGTATGTACATATATTCAAAAAATAAAAATAGATGAATTAATTTTTAGTGGCATTTCTAAGTAAATTGAAATCTGCATTCAATATAATTATATTCCAAAAGTTCTATGTTTAGGCAAGCATTAAGCTCAATCTTTAAATGAATTAGCTCTTGAATTTAAAAAAAAAATTTTAATTTCGGCTTTTGCGTATACTTAGTTGTCGATCGAGCTGTTAAAACTATATATTAGCTTTTATAACGACAACTTTCTATTAGAAACGTTGGCACTTAGTTAAAACTAGTGRATAAAGGAATCATTTGCAAAATAAAAACAACAGAATGCTTCACGAAAGCGTTAGTTCATTTTTATATTATGTTATTTTTATATTGTATATAAATATATAGCATTACTTAAGCGCTTTACCTAATCAAAAGTTAATTTTGTGAATTTAAATTTTCCATATAAATATAAAATAAAATGTTAAAAGTTAAATATGTATACAAAAATAGCGTTTTCATTTACCTTTTGCAATTAAGTTTAATTTAAAAATTTATTATACATAAAAAATACATAATATGCGTAATATATGCAGGTGGCATCTATAAATTCGTTTCGTAGTAACTTTTATAGCTCTCAGCTTTGTCACGCATCGTCGCATTTCTTGAGCTTGAGCTGGCGGAGGTTGATGCCATGGATTGCGRTGAAAAAAGTTTGCTTGACATTGCAGAAGGTTGACGATAGGTATTCTGGAATTAGAGATAATCAAACTATAAAAAAGATGTAAAACATATGTTAGTGTAAGTATGTATGTATGTATACTATATGAAGAAATTAAAGGCTAAGTTTGGTTGAAACTGAACATCAAATACACGACACAACAATCCAATCAGGTTTTTTAGCTGGCGAAGGACTGCCAACTCGACAGCATTCTTCCAATTAYTTCAGGGATGCTTTCTAAAGCTGCAACAACAACTAGATGAAATACTATCACAATATGTAAGAACTTTTAAATATATCACATAGGTCTAATTACGTTTTTCCGTATAAAACATATGTATGCTTTTACTCCATATTCCATATTTTTATTGTTTTACTTATACTAAATCTTGAGAAAGGTGGGTTTTCGAAGGGAWTCGTCTATGAAACGAAAGCGCGGGGAACATTTCTAAGTCTAGMTTAGAGGTGTCCCATTTAAGCGTTATCCCTATTTTAGCTGTTTTTWTTCTTTTCTCAGGGCCGACGAGTAGTTCGCGTAGCTGGTTTGGGAGACCTTCAGACACCAGAGTAACCACTGTAGCATATAACTATCAATCAAACTGAACGATCAAATGAAGTTTTCTAGCAAGGGATGCAATCGAAGTTAACGATTTTTCCTGTTAACTAATCCTTATGTATGTATTTGTGATCTTAAGAAAGAATAGCTTAAGAAAAAAGGCAACTAAAACATGATAAACATAATAATGGAATTATATTTGTTTCTCGTTCTCATGACAGTAGAATTTATGAAACTGAACGGACTTGGATTTTTATCCGGTCAATAATTGTCGCTTCAGAAGGAGCTTTAAGTTTATGCAAAGAAAGTAAGTTCACAATGCATTGAAAGAACTTAAGAATTTTTTTTTTTTATTGCGCCGGCCTGACAGCAAAGAAAGAACCAAKCCAACGTTTGATAGACTAGTCTGTTGTGATTCGTTTTCCAGAGAGGGCATTCTGCATCCACTGGAACAAATGATAGTCAAAAATGGCTATAAAGCTAGTAAAGCAAAAATTCCCTATATGCTTTTAAACTCTCTAAAAKGGGTGACAGGGTGACGCACAAATATTCTGCGAGCTCTTCTGTTTTTTGGACGTTCCACATATTCCAAACCAAAGTCACCACTTTGAAGTCATGCAAACCTCTTTTGCCACAGCTGAAGCATGTGCACTATATAGTTCCATCCAAATATGTTGACCTTTGGATGACGCTAAATATCAAATTATTGAAGAAGAACGGCCTGAAAACTCTTTTTCAAGCAAAAGTTCTTCAAACATACTATACATTTATTGTATTTGAGTAAAAAAAAATGATTGTTGTTTAACCTTGAAATGAATGGCTTATAATGAGAAAGACGCGCAAGGACAATAGGTTCCCAATGCATTTTCGGAATAGTGAAACAATGGAATAATAATCAAGTTATGCCATCTCTTGGCAAATCGTTAATCTTTTTCACAATCATTTATAATCGTTTCGTCCTCTTAGGTATTTGGAGTCTGGTCCACTCAATGAAGTTGTCAAACGGTGTACTAACACTCTACTATACTTTTGTATGAAGATGTAAATGCGAACAATTATTTATCATCAACAACTTAAAAACGCGTATTCAATATGTATATACCTAGTTCCACGAAACTGATATTTATACTGTGTCAGATAACGGTCAATCCACATGGGAACTATAAATGCATTACACATTATCTTTAAATAATTCGCAATCATCTGTGACAACAGAGTTTATTTTTATTAGAGTGYTAAATAAACTTCAAAATGATGGATGACAATACTTAAAGCACACACACACATACATAAGAGTGAAGCTTTCAAGGCTATGAAATGAAGTATTAARATTATAAATAATATGTAGTATTTACAATATTTTATTCAAGACAATACCTTATAATCGYTTTGTTCAAATAACTATTGTTTRTATCACCTAAAACTAATCGAGATAGAAATAGACTTATATATATGTATGTATATAAATGATCACAATTACGAGATTAGTTAAAATGCGGGGGACTGTCTGTCCTTGCTTCCATCCGTCCGTCKGCACGAGCAAGCTGTAACTGGAGTAAAAATTAAGATATGGTAACGAAACTTTGTACTTTGATAAAAAAGTATAGACGAATTCGAAAATGGGTTTAATTGGACTGCTGACCACAAAACCCCATTGATTGAAAACCTATTAAATGCCATAACTAAGCACTCAATTAAGATAGTACTGTGATTTGGTAGAGAAGATTGCAGTAGCAAGGAGCATCTRTGAGCAAACATTTTTAAAATATATCTTCTAAACCAAAAAAGTTACAATAACCAAATTCGCTTCGAACAAATCATTTAAGAATCCTTATGACAGTACGGAAATTGTTGAAATTGGATTATAACTCCGCACATTCCCCTTATAACGGTCTTGTTAAAAGCTTCTTGAACGCCGGCAAATCRATAACTGATTGTTTCAGAGACATTAAATCTTACATTCGGGAGGRTYCACATTTACGTGAAATCATATATCTCGGAACCTACTCAACCGATTTGAACAAGAATCGGCTTACAATATTATCTTAACATTCCTACATTACATAGAAAAAATGRGAAATCAGACAAAATCGACAACTACTTCCCATACTCCAACTAATACTTTCAATTTCCAGTATACGAGTCCAGAACCAATCAATGTATCTGGATGATACACACAAATAGTGTCCTCAAGGTATTTCATCTAACCCCAAAAATTTCCGAAATCGGAAGATAACTTCTCAAGAACCCAGATGCCAAATAGGCAATATATTTAGTATGTGCACTTAAGGAATCGTCTCAGTGTGAAATTTTCGAAAAATAATTTTTGCATTATTAGATGCATACAATGTAGTAAAAATTCTCTCAAAATTTTAAATCGAAATTCCAATTATTACAGTCGCTACAGGAGTCTTGTAGAAAGGGAAGGGAGTGTGGCATGTCGCGACTCCAATCTTTAAACGCGTTTTTCTCAGAATGTTGTTTTTCGAAACGGTTTCCACTCTCAAAGGAAGAGTTTTGAAGATATCTATAAGGTGCGTTTCAAAGTAAACAGGACTTAAAAAACAGGYTTYTTCGCAAAATTAATTTATTTTATTCAAAATAATCACCTTCTTCTTCAATACAGCTATTTGCACGGTCAAAAAGCAGGTGGAACGAGTGTTTGAGCTTGTTCGCCGGTATGACCGCCAGTATGCCGGTGGAAGCCTTTTGAATGGCCACATGAACGTCTGCATAACGCTTTCCTTTAATGGGCAAATGTATTTTTCCGAAAAGGAAGAAATCGCATGGTTCCRTATCAGGTGAATAMGGGGAGTGATTAAMGGTTAAAATATGTTTTTGATCATATAATCGTTTGCAAGCGTTGAATTAAATGTTGGWTTCTGAGCAAACAAACAAACCGTGCACACACCTTTCGTAAGCCCAAATATTCGGTCAAAATGCGTTAAATCGATGTTTTGGAGATGTGCAATTCCATTTCCATGAATTTCAATGATGATTTCGGCTGATTTTCGATGAATTCACGCACAATTGCGATGGAATTTCCGGTGATCACGGATTTCGATTGGCCCACATGTTGATCGTCATTTATGTAATCACGACTACTTTGAAAACGTTGAAACCACTCGTGCAGTCTGCTACGGGATAGGCAATCATGGCCATAAACTGGCCATCAATTGAAATGTTTCAGTAAAAGTTTTACCAATTTTAAAACAAAATTTAAATTGGGTCTTTGTTCGTCTGTATTACGCAATGGAAGCGTTTTTTTTTTGTTTTTGAAATCTTCCTACATGTTAATTATCTTTTTGGAGTTCTTGTTGTAGATCGAAATTGAGGCCGCAATCGTGGTCATCGTACCTTTTTTATACCTGTCATTGCAACAATTTACTTAATATTAAACACCCAATAAATAAACAAAAAAAATCATTTTGTATTCATCTTGAACGTATTTATTTATTTAAAAAAATCGGGCCGACKAGTTAATTACAACATTAAAAAAAAAGTAAGGAAGGGAACCGAACATTTTATTCTCTTGCAACGTACAAG